GCAACAGACTGCATAAGGGAGGGGAGACGCATGTCCTAGAAGCGTCTGGAGCCAATATTGAGTCTGAATGCACTTGGGAGTCTAGCGCTTTATTTCTCCCTAGTGTCGGGCAAGGTGTAGGGGTGTGGGACTAGGGAAAGGAACATGGATGCGGTCCGAGAAATAACTGACTGCATAGGGATGCCTAGACTAAGGGAAAATGAGCCACGCCAAGTCCGGAGGACTAGAAAAAAGTGATTGCGGCATGAGGCAAGTGGAGACGGTAAATGGCGGCCGCAAGATGAGATCTCGCGGCCAAGAAAAATTCGGCACAGGAGAAGCACCTAAGGGAGGAGTGCTGGAAACCCCAACGGCGAGGGGGTCCCAACAATAAAAATGGGACGTCGTTCGGGATTCTGTCGGGGACCGAGTGGGCCCAAATAATAAAAATCAAAAATGGGACATGCGTCGGGGGGACTGCCGGCGGGACAAGAAAACGGAATTAGTACATGGGAAGTGGCGGGGACTTGGGTTGTCCCGAGGAAAGTCGTGAGCTAAGTGCAGAAAAATAAATGATGATGCGAGCGGACGGCGCCGTCGAGATCGGGGACCTAGACGGTGGAAAATATTAGCACCACTAGTGCAAGCACTAGTGGGGGCGATTGGGAAGAGCCACGGGAAGAAGGTAGGAGAAATAATAGTGGTAGGGGGCCTGCCCAGCAGTCCGAGATATCTCGGATCAGCTAGGCATGAGAAAGTAGAGCCTCAAGGGGCTCCACATGAGAAAATGGTTGTCCGGAGAAAATCGGAGCAAGGGGGCCCAAAATCAGAAATAACAGGAGCAAAATGAAGCCCCCTAGGAGGGTGGGGGTGCCATTGCTGCAATCCGTGATATAACGGCCTAGTAGTTGCTGTGAATCTGGCCTTGAATGGGGTTCTAAAGACTAGAAATAGAATGCACAGTTGTTTGACACGTGTCGCAACTGAAATAAAAGAAAAAGAGAGAAAATTGGAAGAAGATGGAGGGAGAATGAGACAAAAAGGGAGAAAAGAGTGGAGGGAAATATGCCGGCCTATTGGGACTGCTGCAGTAGGGACTGGCAGGTCCCTACGATGACCTCATCCCTCCTAGATTCAAAGAGGGCAGTCCGGATTGCAGAGATATGACCCTTGGGGCATTATCTCTACAATATCTAAATTAAAAAGGGAAAATTGAGGGAAAATGCAAAAGTGAGTTGGTCGGTTTTCTTTTGGACCATGGATCTGAGATCAGATCTCATGGTGGAGAGGATTTAGCCGTTTTTTGTGGGCCAGCACAAAACGGCTAGCTCCAGAATGAGGTGGCAACCCAAAAAGGAAAGAAACAAAAGAGGGAAGAGGACAAAATTGTGCATTTGGCCCAAAAGGAGAGCTGGATGCATCAAAAATTGAGAATGTGGACTTTGGGGCCCTAAATTGAGGCAAGGGCTACCATGGGGCAGCCCGGAATATTGTGAACCTTGGATCTTATCCAGATCCAAGGCTGAAGTTGCACCGCCACTTGGAAAAATGCAACGGCCTACTAAAAAAGAGGCCAAGATCAGAAAAGTCAAGGAAATGGGCCTCTAGGCCCTTGTTTTTCAAGTAAGGCTGCCCCTTGGGCATGGGGACCCTATGAAACAACATTTTTGAAACTGAAAAGAGGCCAAGGGAGGCCAAGGGGTAGTCTGAGTTGGTACCAACCACTCGGGCTGCATGTACCTGGCCAAAATAAGGCTCGGGTACCCCCGGAAGGGCCTAGTGGTGAAAAATTGCCTTGAGGGTACCTCGGTTCTCTTTGAGGCACATGGAGAGGCTCATAGGCTGGGCGGTGTACCAGTTTCAGCCTACATAAGCTGGGAGTTCAGTCTGCCACTCCCACATTTGCATGAGAGGAGCCCATGCTGCCCAAATGAGCCCGTGAGAGAGCTCTACTCACTTGGAAGTGAGAGGAGGGGAACCACTGCTAGTTTGGAGCTTGGTGATGGTGGAAGGCTAGAGGAGGAGGCCCTCGTGGCTGGTAGTAGTGAGGAAGGTGGTCCGCCATAGCCCCCAGGCTGTGAGAGAGAAGGGGAGGCTAGAAGGAGTCCCATTAGTCCTCCTAGAGGGAAGGACTCCATAGCCAAAGCAAGAGAGGTCTGCCATAGCTTAAGGAGAAGGTGATAGAGGAGGAGGAGATGAGTTTGAGGAGGGTGGAAGCCATAGCCAGGGAGTGAGCATCAAGGTTGAGACTCCACCTGCAAGCCACCAATAGAGGTGAGTAGGAGGAAGAAGCTTCCTCTTTTTTTTTTTTTTTTTTTTTTTTTTTTTTTTTTTTTTTTTTTTTTTCTTGTTCTTGTTCGTCTTCCTCTTCTTCCTCTTCCTCTTCTTCTTCTTCTTCTTCTTCATCCTCTTCTTCCTCTCCATCTTCCTCCTCCTCCCTCTCATTCTTCTTCATCTTCTTCCTCTTCTTCTTCCTCTTCTTCTTCCTCTCCTTCTTCTTCCCCCTTCCTCTCCACTTTGATCTCCTCCATCTCTTGATTTTCACCTATTTGGTAGTAGGTGGAGTTGTGATTCACTCATGTATGTTCCGCTGCTCATCCCTTGTGTTTTGGCCTGTCCAAACTCTTGTTTTTCTCTCATTTGGTAGTAGGTAGAGTTGCGAGTCACCCATGGATGTTCCGCTGCTCTCCCCTTGTGTTTTGGCCTGTCCACTCTCTTGTTTTACTCTCATTTGGTAGTAGGTGGAGTTGCGATTCACTCATGGATGTTCCGCTGCTCATCCCTTGTGTTTTGGCCTGTCGAAGCTCTTGTTTTTCTCTCATTTGGTAGTAGGTAGAGTTGCGAGACACCCATGGATGTTCCGCTGCTCTCGCGTTGTGTTTTGGCCTGTCCACTCTCTTGTTTTACTCTCATTTGGTAGTAGGTGGAGTTGCGATTCACCCATGGATGTTCCGCTGCTCATTCCTTGTGATAGTGGTTGTTCTTGCTCTTGATTTGCACTCATTTGGTAGTAGGTAGAGTTGCGAGTCACTCATGGATGTTCCGCTGCTCATCCCTTGTGTTTTGGCCTGTCCAAGCTCTTGTTTTTCTCTCATTTGGTAGTAGGTAGAGTTGCGAGTCACCCATGGATGTTCCGCTGCTCTCCCCTTGTGTTTTGGCCTGTCCACTCTCGTGTTTTAGTCTCATTTGGTAGTAGGTGGAGTTGCGATTCACCCATGGATGTTCCGCTGCTCATTCCTTGTGATATTGGTTGTTCTTGCTCTTGATTTGCACTCATTTGGTAGTAGGTAGAGTTGCAAGTCACTCATGGATGTTCCGCTGCTCATCCCTTGTGCTTTGGCTTTTCCAAGCTCTTGTTTTTCTCTCATTTGGTAGTAGGTAGAGTTGCGAGTCACCCATGGATGTTCCGCTGCTTATCCCTTGTGTTTTGGCCTATCCAAGCTCTTGTTTTCCTCTCGTTTGGTAGTAGGTAGAGTTGCGAGTCACCCATGGATATTCCGCTGCTCATTCCTTGTGATATTGGTTGTTCTTGCTCTTGATTTGCACTCATTTGGTAGTAGAAGGTGTTGCGATGCACCCATGGAGGATCCGCTGCTCTTTCCTTGTGATTTGGGTTGTTCACAGTTGTGCTTTTCACTCATGTAGTAGGTCGTAGTGCTCCGATTCCTCCTTGAGTGTTGTGCTGTTCTTCCCTTGTGATTTGGGTTGTTCACACTTGTGCTTTTCATTCATGTAGTAGGTAGTAGTGCTCCGATTCTTCCTTGAGTGCTGTGCTGTGTTTCCCTTGTGATTTGGGCTGTTCACACTTGTGCTTTTCACTCATGTAGTAGGTAGTAGTGTTCCGATTCTTCCTTGAAGTGCTGTGCTGTGTTTTCCTTGTGATTTGGACTGTTCTCAATTGTGCTTTTCACTCATGTAGTAGGTAGTAGTGTTCCGATTCTTCCTTGAAGTGTTGTGCTGTTCTTCCCTTGTGATTTGGGTTGTTCAC